GTTGTGCGAGTCTAGAGCATCTCATGATTTCCTACTCTGTTCATGTACTGATGAAATCTGTGCCAGGGGCTTATTCTAGTCTGATCACCTGAAGGGCAAAGTCAAGTGCTAGTACCGTAGTTACCTAAGCAAAGGCGACGAGTAGGGAGGTTTCTCCTGTAATGGGGGAATGACAGAAGCATAGACACACTCTTCATTTACACCACTTACTAGGTCTCACACCGAGACCCAGTCCTTTGTTGATTCAAAGAGTGTAGATGAAATGAGTGTCCATGAGGGCAGACCTGCTGCAGCATACTAAAGAGCTCCTTCCCATTAGTGTTCTGTAAGGATGGAGGCCTTTGACCCTGATGACCGAGCTGGAGCTAGTCCCCGAAGGGGAGTTTATTACAGGCCCCAGCGTGTCCTAAGGGAGCAAGAACATGGCTGTGGCCGTGTTCACTACAATGGAAAGTAGGGAATGGGAACTGTCCGTGCTCTTCCTGAGTCTTTTGTTGCAGATTCTTAAAAAAAAAATTTTTTTTATTGGGGTGTAGTTGCTTTACAATATTGTGTTAGTTTCTACCATATAGCAAAGTGAATCAGCTATTCGCATGCATATATGCCCTCTCTTTTTTGATTTCCTTCCCAGACATACAGAACAAATGTATGGATACCTACCAAGGGGGGAAGATGGGGATGGGATGAATTAGGAGATTGGGATTGACATGTATACATACTGGTATTATATATGAAATAGATCTCTGGGGGAGGAAATGGCAACCCACTCCAGTGTTCTTGCCTGGAAAATCCCATGGACAGAGGAACCTGGTGGGCCACGGTCCATGGGGTCACAGAGAGTCAAACACGACTAGTGACTAAACAGCAACAACAACATAAAGTAGATAACCAGTGAGATCATACTGTACAGAGAAGGGACCTCTGCTTAATGCTCCGTGGTGGCCTAAATGCAGGTTCTCTTTGAATAACTACATCATTGTCGCCTCTCTCTTGACGTCTCCACGCTGGTCAATCTGGTCTCCTACACTTGATCTCTCATATGTTGAGCTTCGCGATGCCCGGGGAAAAGTTTGTATTCATACCAGGTGTTCACTTCTGAACAAAACACCTGCAGGCAGAGGGGCAGGCCATCTTAATGAAACAGTTGTTCCCATGTGGAGGGGCATGGAGCATCGACTTCTCATAAATTCACAATTGGTTAGAGGGATTCATTGGGCACAGAGCAATACATTCAATAAAAAGGGCATCCTTGGGTTACCCTTGAGTATGTGGGATGCAAATAAACACACTCACTCCTCCTACCCCACCCCCAAAATTAAACGTCCATATTCATTTTATTTCTTAGGTGAGAAGGAATGTTGTTCATCATTCTGTGTTCATTGTCTTGCCTTTTCATTTGTTCATGATCTAGTTAATATTTGCTCATGGCCATGGAATTGTGGCAAGGGCCAGGGTTGACATCAGAAAGTAAACGAAAGAGAAGGGAAGAAAACAATATATACTGGGCAACTGATTGGTGCTGGATTTCTTTATCATCACTTTGTTTAATTTTTACAATATGCTCTTGAATTAAAAGTTGTTACATTTGTTTTAGACTTGATGAAATTTAGAATTTGAGACATTAAACCACTTATCCCAGTTGTCACAGTGAATTAGTGGTAGAAGTGGAATTCGAATACAAGCCTGCTTCTGAGAGTCATGCCTTTGTCTATGGCTATAATCTGAACAAAAGGACTCTGAGCAAAGGCCCAAAGGGACGGTGAGAGAGCGCTTTCTTAACTGCAGAATGGGACTCTTCTATGTAACTGTGGCCTCTGTATTTGCCACTTCTGTGAAGCTCAGATGAGACCAGGCATGTGCTGTAAAAACGTGTTCAAAGGCAATTACTGAGCACTCCTCTGGTTCAAGCTCTGCACTGGGGGACGCGTTCAGCCATGCAGAAAGCAGACTCTGCCCTAAAAGGGTTTTGCAGTCTTGTGAAGGGGTTATAGTTACTTCCCCCTCTTACCAGATCTTTTGCTAGAGAAGATAATATGCAGGGCAGCATTTTCCTTATACCTGCCTTTGCTCTCTGACCTTGCTTTTCCTGGAAACGGGATGCCTGGTGGGGAGAACTGTGTATGAGGCAGGCAATGTGAGTCAGGAGGGCAGGCCATGCACCGTATCCTTCAGAAACTAAAGATTTGGTCCTTGAGGAAGCCTTCCCAAAGGCTTGATTCATCTTGAAGGTATCACAGTAACATTAAAGTGGGAAACAAAGCAAACTGAGTGATTAAGTGGGAAGGCAATTTGCAGATTTGCAAATTCCATTGTTCTGGAGTGAACCAGGAGGAAAGACACTCCAAGACTTGAGAATCTAGGATGTGAGGAGGAAGCCTCATTTCTTAAACACTCCCTTCCCATGACCATTAAGAGACTCACTTTTTAAAAATCGAGGTATAGTTGCTTTACAATAATGTGTTAGTTTCCGCTGTACAGCAAGGTGAATCAGCTCTATGTTTACATATATCCCCTCTTCCTTGAATTTCCTTCCCATTTAGGTCCCCGCAGACCAGAGCATCGCGTAGACTTGTCAGTGCTATACGGTTGGTTCTCATCATTACATATTTTATACGTAATATCAATAGTGTCTGTATGTCAACCTCAACCTCCCAATCCATTCCACCTGCCCTCTTAGTGTCTCTATATTGTTCTGTAAGTCTAGGTAGAGACTCACTTTTGTCTTATGCAACACTCCCCATTTACTGAGGGAATGAATCACTTATGCATTAAAAAATAAAGACTAGCTTTTTTTTTAAACTTTTTATTTTGTATTGGAGTATAGCTGATTAACAATGTTGTGATAGTTTTAACTGAATGATGAAGGGATTCAGTCCTACCTATACATTTATCAATTCTCCCCCAAACTCCCCTTCCATCCAGGCTGCCACATAAGACTATTTAACTTTATCTACGGGTATCTTCAGAAGCAATCCTTGTCCCAGAGAAGAAGGCAGAACCAATGGGAGAAAAACTGAGAAGGAAAGGACGGGAAGCCCAGGTCTGGGCACAAAGAACGCTGGACTGGGGAAGAGTAACTGAAGCCTCCCTGGGCCGCCGAGATCCTGTGAGTTATGATGTCAGTGAGCAGCTTGAGACTTCTGGGTTTTAAGGAATGGAGATGGGAGCAAGAGAAGAAAGTACATTTGAATTGCTGGAAATAAGTGTTATCATATACACAGTTAAAATTTAAAAAAAATTTTTATTGAAGTATAGTTGCTTTATAATGTTGTGTTAATTTCTACTGTATGGCAGAGTTATTCAGTTATACATATATATATATACACACACACACACATAATATATTATTTTTTTCATATTCTTTTCCACTAAGGATTACAAAGGACATCACAGGATGTTGAATATTGTTTCCTGTGCTATACAGTAGGACCTTGTTTTTTACCCCTTCTATATATAATAGCTTGCATGTGTTAGCCCCCAGGTATCTGCAGTGGCTCAACTAGTAAAGAATTCGCCAGCCAATGCAGGAGATGCAAGAGACCTGGGTTCAATCATGGGTCAGGAAGATCCCTTGGAGGAGGAAATAGCAGTCCACTCCAGTATTCCTGCCTGGAAAACTCATGGACAGAGGAGTCTGGTGGGCTACAGTCCATGGGGGCTCAAAGAGTCAGAAGCACGCACACACGCACACATCTGCTAACCCCAACTCCCTACTCATCTCCTCCTCACTTCCCCTCGGCAATCACAAGTCTGTCTACTACATCTGTGAGTCTGCTTCCCTTTGGTAGATAAGCTCTTCTGTGTCATGTTTTAGATTCCACCATAGGTGTATATTGTCACCTTGCTTATTTAACTGATATGCAGAGCACATCATGTGAAACGCTGGGCTGGATGAAGCACAGCCTGGAATCAAGATTGCCAGGAGAAATATCAATGACCTCAGATATGCAGATGAAAACACCTTTATGGCAAAAAGCAAAGAAGAACTAAAGAGCCTCTTGAGGAAAGTGAAAGAGGAGAGTGAAAAAGTTGGCTTAAAGCTCAACATTCAGAAAACTAAGATCATGGCATCCGGTCCCATCACTACATGGCATAGTAGTGGGAAAATAATGGGGATGTAATAGATGTAGATGGGGAAATGATGGAAACATTGAGAGACTTTATATTTTTGAGCTCCAAAATCACTGCAGCTGGTGACTGCAGCCAAGAAATTAATATGCTTGCTCCTTGGCAGAAAAGCTATGACCAACCTAGACAGAGTATTAAAAGCAGAAACATTACTCTGTCAACAAAGGTCCATCTAGTCAAGGCTATGGTTTTTCCAGTAGTCACGTATGGATGTGAGAGTTGACCTATAAAGAAAGCTGAGCGCCAAAGAACTGATGCTTTTGAACTGTGGTGTTGGAGAAGAGTCTTGAGAGTCCCTTGGACTGCAAGGAGATCCAACCTCCATCCTGAAGGAAATCAGTCCTGAATATTCATTGGAAGGACTGATGCAGAAGCTGAAACTCCAATACTTTGGCTACCTGATGCGAAGAGCTGACTCATTTGAAAAGACTCTGATGCTGGGAAAGATTGAAGGCGGGAGGAGAAGTGGACGAAGGAGGATGAGATGGTTGGATGGCATCACCGAATCAATGGACATGAGTTTGAGTAAGCTCTGGGAGTTGGTGATGGACAGGGAAGCCTGGCATGCTGTAGACCATGGGGTCGCAAAGAGTCAGACATGACTGAGTGACTGAACTGAACTGAATAGGTGATATCATATGGTATGTGCCTTTGTCTTTCTGACTTAATTCACTTAGGATGATAATCTCTAGGTCCATCCACGTGGCCGCTGATTTTCAGTTGTTCTTGTGTGCCTGTGTGACTACTGTCTCTCTGAGGATACAGGCTGCATATATTGCTGGCGCCTGTTGGGAAAGGTTGAAACGGGGAAGAAAATGGACTGAGAGAGCCTTTCAGCCAGATCTACACACTCTGGGACACCTGGAACCTACCAGTGACCTTTCTGAAGGCTGCTTTCACATCCGTGTTTCTCAGGCTGTAGATCAGAGGGTTCAGCATGGGAATGACCACGGTGTAGAAGACAGACACCACCTTGTCTTCCTCTAGGGATGTGCCTGAAGCACTCCGCAGATACATGAAGGCAAGGGTCCCGAAGAACAGAGCCACAGCAGTGAGGTGGGAGGCACACGTGGAGAAAGCCTTAGCCCTGCCCCCTGAAGAGCTGACCTTCAAAACGGCCTTGATGATAAGCAGGTAGGAAGTCAGGATGACCAAGGCGTTGACCAAAATCACAAAGTTGCCAAAAAAGATAATGATAACCTCTGCATCTTTTGTGTCACTGCAGGCCAGCTTCAGCAGGGGTGGGAGGTCACAGAAGAAGAAGTTGATCTGATTGTCATCACAGAAGGAGAGGGTAAACGTACACGAGGTATGCAGGATGGACCCCGTTAGCCCACAGACGTAGGCTCCGAGCACCAGCGCCCAGCAGATCCTGGGAGGCATGGCCACGGTGTAGAGCAGCGGGATGCTGACAGCCACGTAGCGATCGAGGGCCATCACCGACAGCAGGAAACACTCCGTGCCTGCACAGACGGTGAAGAAGAAGAACTGGGCAGCACACTGGCCGTAGGAGACGACCGTCCTGCCCATGGCCAGGGTCGCCAGGACCTGAGGGGTGATGACCGAGGTGTAGCAGGTGTAGCAGTGAGAGGTGGCTCAGAAAGAAGTACATCGGGGTGTGGAGTCGGGCATCCTCCTGGATCAGAATGAGCATGCCCAGGTTTCCCAGGAGGGTGACTAGATAGAAACTCAGAAATGCCACGAAGAGGGCGATCTCTAACTCAGGATAGTCAGGAAAGCCCATGAGGATGAACTCAGTTACTATGGTGAGATTATTCTTGCCCATGGATTCCACATAGACTAGAGATCTGAGGTTGAGAATGAGATGGAAAAAAAAATTCCCAGAATTGAAGAACAAATGTTTTCTGTCTGGTCGAAGTTAGGTTTATCTTTGTGGGCAAATGTACAGAGGTTGTGTTTGAGAAATCTTGTACCTGGCTGACTCTTCTTAGACATCCTGCATTTTTGGGAGCTGAGCCATGAGCTGGTGCTTCTAATTTAAATTAACTCTGGTCTATATTTGGAAGTTTCTGTGAAGATAAGAGACACACAGACTCTGAGATTTGGAAATAATCTAGGCTGCATCTGCTCTAACATCCGTTGGACACTGGAGTCTCCTCTACTGAACACCACTCCATGTGTTTGTCTGGTTGCCCTGTGAGCTTCTATCTGTGGACAGTTCTACCCGTGAATTGCCTTTTTGGTTCTAGATTTTCTGTCTTTTTCTTCCACACTTTGGCTTTAGTTTCACCCCTTCCAGAGACAACAATTCTAAACCCTTCTTCTCAGGAAAGCATTTTGGAGGTTGGAAGATGGCTAATCTTTAGGTGGACTATTCCCTCATTTCAGCTCAGTTCGGTTGCTCAGTCATGTCCGACTGTTTGTGACCCCATGAATTGCAGCACGCCAGGCCTCCCTGTCCATCACCAACTCCTGGAGTCCACCCAAACCCATGTCCATAGCGTCGGTGATGCCATCCAAACGTCTCATCCTCTGTCCCCTTCTCCTCCTGCCCCCAATCTCTCCCAGAATCATGATCTTTTCCAGTGAATCAGCTCTTCGCATGAGGTGGCCAAAGTGCTGGAGTTTCAGCTTCTGCGTCAGTCCTTCCAATGAACACCCAGGACTAATCTCCTTTAGGATGGACTGGTTGGATCTCATTGCAGTCCAAGGGACTCTCAAGAGTCTTCTCCAACACCACACTTCAAAAGCATCAGTTCTTTGGTGCTCAGCTTTCTCCACAGTCCAACTCTCACATCCATACATGACCACTGGAAAAACAATAGCCTTGACCAGACGGACCTTTGTTGGCAAAGTAATGTCTCTGCTTTTTAATATGCTATCCAGGTTGGTCATAGCTTTCCTTCCAAGGAGTAAGAATCTTTTAATTTCATGGCTGCAATCACCATCTGCAGTGATTTTGGAGCCCCCAAGTATAAAGTCTGACACTTCCCTCATTTACCCAATGATGTATATTTTAATTTTTTTACTTTGCAATTTTATTTTATTGTGATGTAGTTGATGTATAAGTTGGAAGTATACAATATAGTCATTTGCAATTTTGAAATGTTATGCTCCTATATAGTTATTATAAAATGGTGGCCATGCTCCCTGTGTTGTACTCTATCCTTGTAGCTTATTTTCTTTCTTTCTTTTTTCTGCTATTGAACTATAATTGCCTTAGAATGTTGCATTAGTTTCTGCCGTACAACAAGGAGCATCAGCTCTCCGTGCACATACATTGCATCCCTCTTGAGCCTCCCCCACCCAGTTCCGTCTCTCCGGGTCATCACCCAGCACTGAGCTGAGTGCCGTGTGCCGTGTATCTGTAGCTGCTTCCCGCTGGCCGTCTAGTTCACACATGTGCCACATGTATGTCTATGCCCCTCTGTTCATCCCACCCTCCCCTTCTCTCCTGTGTCCGCACGTCCCTTGTCTATGTCTGCATCTCTATTCCTGCTCTGGAAATAGGTTCATCTGTATCCTTTTTCTAAATTACGTCTGTATGCATTAAATATATTTGTTTTCTCTTTCTGACTTACTTCACTCTGTGTGACAGACTCTAGGTCTATCCACATCACTACAAGTGACCCAGTTATTGCCTGTTTCAATGTGTGGTCAATACCGTTAGTCAGATGGTATTAAAAGACGTGTTCATGGGTCCAAACTAGCAAGTGGTAAATAAGTTCTGAATATCTAGGGCACAGCAGAGTGCTTTTAGGTGAAACATTGTATTACAAACTTCAAAGTTGCTAAAGAGTAGTTTCTGACTGTTCTGACCACAAGGAAGACAGGACAGTTATGGGACATGGTGGAAGATATGCTACAGTGGCAATTATATTGTAATATATGACTATCAAACCAAAGCATTGTAAACTCAAACTTACACACTATTACATGTCATTATGTCTCAATAGTAAAAACAATTATAACTGAAAGATTTTCTCCACTTTAATTTTTGCCATGTTATTCTAGGGCTGGAGGTCTCCCCTCGCTGGGCTCAAGGGTCACCCGTGGGAGGGAGGCACTGGCTTACCACAGAGAACACAGCCTCCTTGAGCCGTTCCCTGCGCCCCACTGCAGCAGCCCCGTTCTGGGATGAAGGATGTTCTTCGGGAAGCCCTCTTGGGTTGCCAGGGTCCGCAGCCACCATCTCTAGGACCGGCACTAACTAGCTGCATAAGCTTCCGAGTCACTGCCTCTCCTTGGACTTTGCTTTCTGTCCTGCAAAGTGGCAGGGCTAGATGACGTCATCATGGTGACGACACCATCGTGAAAGTTCCTCTGCTCTCAGCACCCATGACTTGTGTCTAGATGCGTGGGCAAGTGAGGCTCCTGAGAGGGTTTTTCTAGCATGGGTGCTCTGGGTGTGAGTCACTGAGCATATAAATGCGGCTCTCTCTCAGGTGATGTACCGCTTGTTTGCTTGCTAAGTCGTGTCTGACTCTTCTGTGACCCCATGCACAGCAGCCCACCAGGCTCCTCTGTCCAGGGGATTTCCCAGCCAGGAATACTGGAGTGGGTTGTCCCTTCCTTCTCCAGGGTGTCTTTACTTAGACGTCATATTATGCAGTCTTGCATCCAAAATTCATCATGTTCCCAAGTTCCTGATAAACTGTCATTATTGAGCAGGGTGAGATCCTTCATATTATTTTATTCTTCTCTCCATCCTCAATTGTTTCCCAATCCCTTGTAGGGATACATTCTAGCACATGTCAACTATATATACCTCTCTATATATCGCTTTTATATTTACTTAAAAATGTGTATATTTTTAAAAGTATACTTATTTTTAGTGTAGTTTAATGTTTATAGACATGATCTTTTTTGTGTCTTTTTCCACATATGTATATCTTTTTGATTCATCCATGTTGTCTCGATAAATTGTTAATTTTTTTCTGATTTTGTTATTCTCTTCTTGTGTGCCCTTCCTAAGAGTGGCAGCGAGGATATTAAACATTCCATATACATTATCTCATACAATCCTCATGATGATCCTGTGATAAAATCATTATTTTGTCCTGCAGGAAACTGAGACTCTGAACAGTTAAGTAACTTGTCCACAGTCACATGACTAGTCAGTTGAAAACCCCAGATTCTAACTCAGCTCTGCAATGTTTCAAAGCCAAAGCTTCAGTACATAGGAGTGATCCCACCTGCACATAATCACAGGACACCCAGTGCTTTGTGGTGGATTCTCTGGTCTAAGCAAGGCAGTACAGTACCCCACCCCTGTCTGGGAAAACTATCTACATTTTCTATCTGTTGCCTACTGACACGCACACAAGCCTGAAAAGATTGCAGCTTAGGTTTTCAAGGAAAAAGATGAGCCAGTCTTGTTTGTGTGTTTCATATAAGAGCTGGAATCCCAGTCTGGCCGGGGTCCCATTAGGTGACAAGGTCTGATGAGGTGGCCAGAATCTCTGCCCAGTTTCACCCTCCCTAGTCTGTGTGGAGCTTCCTTCAGAGCCAGGACCCTCTCAATGTTATCAAGGTCTCGATGACATCCTACTTACCTGGTGGAATAATCTGGTTGGATGCATCTTCATTTTGGAATCAAACTAATCAAAAGTCATTTAAGAATTTTGAAGAAGCAGCTCAGATTATGCAAATGGATGTATAGAGCTGACAGGTTTTAGGTTTCTTCTTACTCAGAAGACCAGAGGCTCTTTAAAAGTACGTCTGGGGATGGTTTTGTAGAGGATGCAGTGAGCGTGAAAACGGTCCCTGACTCGTGAATCAGCACCTGGACAGCCCCCAGGGCTCCCTGGGACAGGCAGCGCTGTCAGGGGAAACGCTTCTGAAGGTGCTCGTTAGCTCAGCTCCCACGTCAGAGAGGATGGAAGCACATCCTGTGGGGTTCCGTTTAACTCCCGAGTCTCATTAGTCCAAGGCTCATCTGCAGCTCCTCTAGGGACTGAGGCTGGTTCCCCTTCACCACTGGCCCTCAGTGTCCAGCTGTGCCATTAGTGGCGGTGCCAGGACCGGGACTCAACTCTGAAAACTCTGGGTGATGTTTTATACACTGCGTCCATCCTACATCAATCCATCCTTAAGTCTTAAACCTGATGTCAAGTTTCATCTCAGGATCTGAAACTTAGGCACATCATCTGCTTCGTTTTATTAGGAAGGATGTTTATTGATTCTGGAGGAAATGAGGCTAGGTGTGCTAAACATTCTTCATCCCAAGGACAAAGGAAGCTGGCAGGCTACAGTCCATGGGGTCACAAAAGAAGTACACACAGCTTGCTGAAACAATGAAAGAGTCTGTGTGTTGTATTGTGAATGCTTCCTGGAATGGTCTAGAGGGTACAGAGGCTGTTTGGACAAAATAGAGAGAAAAAGGGCGAATAAGCCAGTAGTGATAGTATTCCATTAAACATCCCCTTCCCTCCACAGTGCTCAGTTGTGTCTGATGCTTTGGGACTGCATGGACTGTAGTCTGCCTGGCTCCTCTGTCCACAGAGTTCTCCTGGCAGGAATACTGGAACGGGTTACCATTCCCTTCTCCAGGGGATCTTCCTGACCCAGGGATAGAACCTCAGTCT